CAACTCTGGACTAGCATTAATTTTTAAGCTCAAAAATTAACCTTGTACATGCATAGAACGAGATAGTTAATTCTGGTATTTTCCTGTTAAAGATGTATATGAATATTCATCAATATATATTCTTATAAGGTGTGATCTACTTAACGGTGAAAAGAAAAACGAAATAAAAATAATAAAGCTTGTAATAACATCACAATTAGGTTTCAAGTTCAAAGTAAAGACTTCCTGAAGCTTTAAACTAAAATGGCTTCAAAACCGCATGGAAATTTGCCATTTTCCTCACTAATAACATCCTGAAAAACTACCTTAGCCTTACCTTACTATCACTTAAGAGTAAGAGCTTACTTACTTACTTACTTACTTACCCTTACCTTACTGTCACTTAAGAGTAAGAGCTCTCGTAGAAAACTCTCTCGTGATTATAAACTGATTATTTTTGTTTGGCAGCTACAGTTACCTATGAGATTTAAAGGCTATTTGAAATCATTTATATATTCTATTTTTAGTGACAGATATAATTCATTATGTAATATTACATAGTATATATATATATATATATATATATATATATATATATATAATTATATATTATTATGTATATATATATATATTATTGTTATTATTTTCTCGTTACCAACATTACCGTGTCATATGAAAGTCATAGACGGTGAATGTTAATTGCCACAACACAAATAACTACTCTTCCTTGTATAACAGCAGATTTATTGACAGTCGTGTATCTGGCAGCGTGTCTTACACCTTTTGTGCAAGTCCTGTGGATTTGGATTAAACTTTAATCGGAAATCAACTTTTATAATGCGTACAGAAGATGCCCTTAATTCATGTCTAAGTCTAACTCTACACCCTCTTATTTCCTACTAATTATAAATCAATAATCACTACTATGGACACAATAAAAACAAACTTGAGACTAAATCAAGAGTCAACCCCAGTCTACCAGTATCTTTCTGTTACTTACTTGTACATGAAGTAATTGGTCCCTCCCTTCTATCTTCCACAATTTCCTTTCTTACACTCTATTCTGGTCCATTGTTCTCTTTACAACTCATAACTTTATACAGTCGGAATCATCACCTTGGACGAATTCAGTGTATGTATCCACGATCCAAAATAAATAATAAAATAATATATATATATACATATATATAAATTCATATATAAACAATTCCCACCAACAAAGCTGGCGTCATGGCATGTGACACAGGGTTTAACTCCAACCTTCTCTGCATTGAGGGTAAAAGCCAAGACGTCTAAATTATCGCATTTCAAAATATAAGCATTCACAGTCATATCAATTATCATATTACCTATCAAGCATTATAGAATATCCGAGCAAGATATGACTATTGATAACAGCAGTCAACATAAGTGCGCTCAGGGTGAAAGCCAGGACTCGTCTGACGAAAAGCCGTTAGGACAAACTACTTTCCTCCCATTGAATCGTTAATATAAAAAAAAAAACAAGCCATTTATATATAATCCACGTCTGTTACTCTGTTAGATATAACATTAAATTTTAGTGATATGCTTCAATTATAGATAGATATATAAGAATATTTATATAAACGTTTTCAGTTGGGTCTATACAATTATAAACAACGCATCTATATGTCAAACCCATATTGATCCCGACAATGATGGTAATAATAATAAGAGTGATAATAATGATAATAATAATAATGATAATAATAATAGTAATAATAATAGTGATAATAAATAATGATAATGATAATAATATAATAATAATATAATAATAGTAATAATAATATTGATGATGATAATACTTCTACTACTACTACTACTAACAATAATGGTAGTAATGATAATGACAATATTTATATTGATAATAATATTATTAATATCGATAACAATGATAATAATTATGATACAAATAGTAACGTCCATAATATCAGTAATGACAACAACAATAACAATGATTATAAGAAATAGAAGCACGAGATTTTTACTGTACCTGGTAAATTTCCTTCGAACAAATCAGTGATGTTTCCAGCCACGAGTAACGCAGGCTTGTATCGTAAAAAATTAATAAATACACCAGGACTTCCCAAATGAAGCTTTGTTGTTGTATTATTCCATCCTGATATAGATAATTGATTATACCAGGATTTGCAAAAGAACAGAGAACAGTAATGCCCAGAAACATTTTCGTATTTTGTTATTAAAACAGGTTTCTGTGATCAAATGAGAAATAAACAAACAGAAAACGTAAGAGTTTGTTGATGTATTAATTCATCTGAGAAGGATCGGTTATTTTCTTAATTTAACAAACAAATGAAATTAGAATAACATCAACATTATTGTTTACTTCTAATCAGCACTGATAGCGATTGAAAAACAGGAAAAAAACAAGCGTGTGTGTGGTGTGTGTGTGTGTGTGTGTGTGATGTGTGTGTGCGTGTGTGTGTGTGCATGTACGTGTATGTGTGTGTGTGCGTGTGCGTGTACACGTGTGATGTGTTGTGTGTTATGCGTGTATGTATACGTGTGTGTGTGCGTATGCGTGTGTGTATTATTTACACAAACACACGTATATATACCCCTTGTTTCTGCACATAAATGCCACACCGACTCCAACACTAAACCCCTGAGACAAGGCCCCATCGCCCGCTCTTTCACTATGTCCTTTTCACTATTATATTCACTGCAATGGTAAAAAGGTTCCAGTTCAATGCCTGATACCGCCATTCCTCTTCTCCCTTTAGCTCTTAACCATTGTATAACACCCCGTCGTTCCTGTCTCTAGCCAAGGGGAAATAGGGAAGGGAAATGTGTAGAGGTTGTGTAATTCCTTCCATACATTTTGAGGTGTGTAGAGGTAAGAAATATTGTGTGGATGTATTTTTATCGGCTTGTTTGTGCATTGATCTTAACACCGACTATAGAATCTTTTTCTCGTGTGTGTTTGTGTGCGTATGCATGTAGTGTATGACAGATGCAGAGAGAGAGAGGGGGGGGAGGGGGAGGAGAGGGCAGAGCGGAGAGGAGAAGCGAGAGGGAAGAGGGAAGAGGGAGAGGGAGAGGGGAGAGGGAGATGAGTGAGGAGAGAGAGAGAAGAAGGGGAGGAGGAGAGGGGAGAGAAGAGAGAGAGAGGGAAGGAGCGTAGAGGAGAGAGGGGGAGGACAAAGAGAGAGAGAGAGAAACAGAAAAGAAGAGAGAGAGAGAGAGAAGGAGGTAGAGGGAAGAGAGAGTGAGACCCACAGAGTGAGAGAGAGAGAAGATAGAGTCGTTTTCTATTCCTAGAAAGAGGAACTGTTAGTGAATTAAGACCAATTGGCCTCACTATCTGGACAGACCTTATATCTAGTTCGAAAATACTTCTCCAAAACCACCTCTTACCACCTATAGCTCCTGAACAAGGTCAAGAA